TCCTGGGTGACAGCGTGAGACTCCATCTCAAAAAATAAAATAAAATAAAATAAAATAAAAAATAATTAGCCAGGTGTAGTGGTGTGCACCTGTAGTCCCAGCTACTTGGGTGGCTGAGATGAGAGGATCACTTCAGCCTAGGACATCAAGGCTGTGGAGAGCCATGATCATGCCACTGCACTCCAGCCTGAGTAACAAAGCAAGACCTTGTCTTAAGGAAAAAGAAAAAAAGTATATGGAAGGGTGACAGATAATAGGTTAACACCCACACTAAAAATGTAAAAAGAAATTAGTCCCGCCGGGCGCGGTGGCTCAAGCCTGTAATCCCAGCACTTTGGGAGGCCGAGACGGGTGGATCACGAGGTCAGGAGATCGAGACCATCCTGGCTAACATGGTGAAACTCCGTCTCTACTAAAAAATACAAAAAAAAAACTAGCCGGGCGAGGTGGCGGGCGCCTGTAGTCCCAGTTACTCGGGAGGCTGAGGCGGGAGAATGGCGTGAACCCGGGAGGCGGAGCTTGCAGTGAGCTGAGATCCGGCCACTGCACTCCAGCCTGGGCGACAGAGCGAGACTCCGTCTCAAAAAAAAAAAAAAAAAAGAAATTAGTCCCATGTTTAGGTCTGTATCTCACATCTTAATTCACAATACACTAATTTGCCTCACAACACTGCAAATAGGAACAAAAGAAGTGGCAGAGTTATCCAAAGGCAGTCTGAGTTCAACCAGAGCCCTGCTCACCAGGACATTTTATTACACATTGGAGAAGCATTCTAAGACATGGCTGAGGGTGTCCCAATTGTTTTATCTATGAAAAATGGGCTCCTTGGAGGCCATGTGCAGGCTTGCTTAAAACAATAAGCTTTCCTAAGCCCCCAAGCACAACATACTCCGGGAGCATGGTCTGGATGCTTATCAAACAAGTTCCTGGGCTATTCTCTGAAGTTTCTGGGCAAGTACAAACAACAGAGTCAAATAAATGCCTTTAAAAGCAAGGCAGTGGAGCACGTACCCTGTCAGTGAGATCCTCATATTCCCACAGAGTAAACAGTAACATGAGAATATTTATATGAAACAAAACTGTATATCAAGCCTGCTTTGGCTCAGCCAGGGGGGATGATAAATTCCTTGCAGATCTCTCACAGAGTGGTCCTTTGTTGACCACGGACGCCACTTCCAAGACAGTACAAACCAATTACAGAGCAAGGCTTTTCATTATGTCAAGGAATGAAAATATTACCCCCCTTTTGTTTTATTTCAGTTATATTTTACTTACTCCCTTCTCCCAATGTTTAAATAGTTTTAATTTATCATGAGTTAAGTCCCAATTTAGGCTGGAAACCAACGACAACTCCCCCTCTCCCCCGCACCCCACACACAAAACCTTATCACCTCATAGCCTAGCTTCTTGCTTTCCTTATCCCTCTTTTAAGAAACTAAAAGTTAAAGTTTAAAGCTGGGTAGAATAAAAACCAAAGGGGTTGATAGAAAGTAAAGTCTATTTGTTCACATCAATTTTGGCCTCTTCACAGTTGGTAAAAGGAGGGAGGGTAAATATGAGCTATGAAGCACATATTCCATACAATGTCCACCTTGTAGTAAGATTTAAAAAACAAATACTGATGAAACATTGGCACAAACTGTGGGGCTGCTTCTAAGAGGCCAATCCGAGAAAAGCTGCATATGAGTTGAGGTATTTGTTAGTTCATTTTGTCAGGTTTTCTCAAGTCAATGGGATCGTCCTTCTTAGTGATCATAGATGCATCCCAGCGACTTCTGCCAGTTCCTGCAGAGGAAGAGCTGGTGATACTCTACCCATCCACCAGAACACTTTCAGCAATTTACAGCTGGTTCAGATTTTCTAAAAGGCAGAAGGGAAACAGAGAAAGAAAAGACAAATTCAAATATGAATGAGACGTAAGAGGTGTGTCTGTGCTTGTTTTAAAAATTATTGGCCAGGCGTGGTGGCTTACACCGGTAATCCCAGCACTTTGGGAGCCTGAGGTCGGCAGATCACCTGAGCTCAGGGGTTCAAGACCAGCCTGGGCAAGATGGTGAAACCTTGTTTCTACTGAAAAAAAAAAAATAGCTGAGTGTGATGATGCCCACCTGTAATCCCAGCTACTCAGGAGGTTGAGGCAGGAGAATCCCTTGAACCTGGGAGGTGGAGGTTGAAGTGAGCCAAGATTGTGCCACTGCACTCCAACCTGGGTGACAGAATGAGGCTCTATCTCAGAAAAAGAAAATTCTTTATTTATAATAAAAATAGTAAATTTTTGTTTTTTAATGGATAGCTGGATCAAAGGCCACATTTAATCAACTTTATTTTAAACCATTAACTAAACCTCATCTGGAGCACTACAGTCCATCATAATAGATTTTAAAAGGGAAAAATAGGTCCCGCATAGTTGTATCTATTAATAGATATTAGAAATTTGCCAACATTTTATTTAGAACATATGGATGATCTGGTTTGGATCAGTGTCTCCACCCAAATCTCATGTTTAATCATAATGCCCAGTGTTGGAGGTGGGCCTGGTGAAAGGTGATTGAATCATTGGGGGTGCATTTCTCATTAATGGTTTGGTACCATCCTCTTGGTACTCTCCTCATGATAGTGAGTGAGTTCTCATGAGATCTGGTCGTTTAAAGTATGTAGCACCTCCCCACCAGCTCTGTTGCTCCTTCTCTGGCCATGTGACATAACTGCTCCCCCTTCCCCTTCCACCATGACTGTAAGCTTCCTGAGGCCTCCCCAGAAGCCAAGCAGATGTCAGCATCATTGTTCCTGTACAGCCTGCAGAACCATGAGCCAATTACCTCTCTTTTCTTTATAAATTACCCAGTCTCAGGTATTTCTTTATAGCAATACGAGAATGGACTAATACAATAGACTTAGTAAAGTTATCTTATTCAGATATGAGGTGATTTTTTAATTTTTTTCTTAACTTTTGTGGGATAAATACATACTTTTTGTTTTTTAATTATAGAACACAATGTGCAGAACATACAATTTACCACTTTAGTCATGTTTAAGTGTATAATTCAGTGGAATTAAGTACATTCACACTGTTGTGCAACCAAGCACCATCATCCATCTCCAGAACATTTTTCATCTTCCCAAACTGACACACTGTACCCATTAAAAGCATGTTTGGTTTTCAATAGGCCTTGCTCAAAGCCAGCAGCCTTTAATGCTGTGACAGGAACCTGGAGAGGTTAACTCAGGTAACTGGCAAATGAATCAACCCCTCCTACAACCCAATATGAATCAGCGGCACCATGGGCTTTTATCCCCTCTCATCTGTTTAATACTGATGCTCAAAACTAAAGCAAAGCTCTAGAATAGATCTAGAAAAACTGTTAATAATACATTTCATTTTTACATTACAGCTTACAGACATTTATTCCCCTAGTCGGGGTGGGAATTATTTTTCCTATTTCATAGCTAATGAAATTATGGCTACATGAAAAATAACAGCAAGGACTGAACTCAAGCCCTCCAATCCACTGTCTACTGTTCTTTCTATCGGGCCACACAGCCTCTGCCAAAGCAAGGCAAGATCTGGGCACTGCTGCTTCTCAGCTCTCAGAGACTGAGAGACAGACCTATCAGGTCTAGCTAGACAGCATTTTGTCTCTTCACCAGAGCAACTAAAATTCCTCACGTCTAAAAACCATACCTAGTCCATCATCTTTTCCATCTTCGTTGTAACCATATTGACAGAGAAAACACACACAGAATTGGAATTCCAGAATGATATAAATGCAATCAGATTCAAGAATCAAATGTAAGTAAAAAAGAAAAAAAAAAATTAGATCACTGGATCCTATAAAAAGACTGAGTTCAACCTTTTTTTAAACTTTTTTTTTCTAATAGAGATAGTCTCACTACATTGACCAAGCTGGTCTCAAACTCCTGGGTTCAAGTGATCCTCCTACCTCGGCCTCCCAAAGTGCTGGGATTATAGGCATGAGCAACCACACCTAGCCAACCTCTTTATTTTTAATTCCTTAAAATAAATTCACATTTTCTGCTTTTATTAAAGAAGATCACAGTCTTTCTTGCTAAACTCAATTTGTGGAAAAATTCATTTCTCTGTGCTTTATGGGAAGCATCTGATACTAGAACAATATAAATACTAAGGATTTACTTAAAATTGCCATCATTGACAAATAGCTTCTTTTAGTTCACAAAAAAGCTACAAATTTTAATTTCTTTCAAAAAAAAAATTTCTTCTGCCAATACCCTTCTCTTTGCTAAAAAACAATATGTTCTCTAAACCTTTAGACTTTCCATCTAAATTCCAAAAGAATAAGTACTTCCTTGAAGTCATGCCCAACACCATCATGCCATCTCCCTATATAAACATTTCAAAATTCTATATCTGGTTTATGAACAGCAGAACATCCTAAAAGTAGTAAGGCAAGAATGAACCATCATGCTTTGAAAGGGAGATTATATTTTGTTACCCTCCCATTTTTTAGTCACTTAGTATTTGATTTCTTTTTTTCTTTCTTTTTGAGACAGGGTCCCATTCTGTTGCCTAGGCTGGAGTGCAGTAGCACAATCATGGTTCACTGCATGATCTTGCCTCGACCTCTTGTGCTCAGGTCATCCTCCCACCTTAGCTTTCCAAGTAGCTACTACAGGTGTGCACTGCCATGCCTGGCTAATTTTTGTAGTTTTTGTAAAGATGTGGTTTTGTCACGTTGCCCAGTTTGAGTTTGGTCTCAAACTGCTAGGCTCAAGTGATTCACCCGCCTTGGCCTCCCAAAGTGTTGGGATTACAGGCATGAACCACTGTACCCAGTCTTGATTTTTTTAAATGTACATATTAAAAGAATAATTAGCCAGGAGTTTGAGATTAGCTTGAGCAACACAATCAGATTCTGTCTCTACAAAAAATACAAAAATGAGCTTGGTGTGGTGGCTGGTGCCTGTAGTCCCCTCTACTTGGGAAGTTGAGGTGGGAGGGCTGCCTAAGCCCAGGAGGGAGAGGCTGCAATGATCCATGAGCCTAGGTGACAGAGTGAGACCCTGTCTCAAAAAAATAAATAAATAAAGTAGTAATTACTCAAAACATGAGAGTTGAATATGGAACTTGAGAGTTCATTCAGGAAAATCCAATCAAGTCCATTTTATCTTGTTTTCTTATAATAATGAAAGATGGTTCAGAAACCATGGCCATTTTACTCAGTTGATTGAGAAGAGCTTCTAATGCTCACAAATTACTAGCACATGATACAAAGTAGATTCTCTCGAAATTGTAACAATGACTAGAAATACAAGGTAATTAAGAATAATCTATGAACACTTGTTGTTGTTGAACAAAGAATGCTTTCAATTTTCCAATACATGGCTGCAACTAAGCTCTTTGTAGTTTCTCCACATCTTCACTGCCCAAAAGAAATTTGTAACGACTAATAATTTTCCTTAAAATTTCAGTGAGGCCTTAGATTGGATCACATGAAAACACCTCCCCAAATCTTCCAGAATTCCCCAATATTTTCCTTTATAGCATATTCAGCACAGTTCTTGCACTCTTGGGGTGTAAATCCAACTAATGCTCTCCCTTTAGTACCAATTCCCCAATCACTTGCCAACTTTTTAACTTGAGCTTCTATGTAATGAGGAGACACGTAAGAAAACTGATCACCAAGGACACTGTAAGACACATATTGGAAGTCTTCTGACATTTCTGCAGCTTCTTGGTCATCAAAACTCTCCACGTTGCAGGCTATTTCAATTTTTCCCTCGTGGGGAAAAGCCATCGCTTGGACACCCTTCAATCCATTTGCATTTGAGCCCCGAATGGCACTAGCGATCTCTCTTCCTGCAGACATGTCTTGAGAATCTATGGTAATGTTGCAGTTCATCACATACGGGCTGGCACCAACACCTAAATCATTAGAAAAGCATGTTAATCAGGCAGAACAAAAGCCTCGTTTTGAAGATTCTATTCGTCAGCCAGTTTTAATCAGAGGCGTTTCCTTTACTCGGTTTTATTTAAAAACAGTACAAATATTCCTCATTGTCAACTCCAGAATTTTCTGAAGATAATATTTTTTTTCCATAATGAAAGTATTTAGGATATAATCAGGTAACTTTATCTACTATAAAAGTATCTGAAGGATTTTTTTTTTCCTAAAAGAGCTCAAACTTTCCAAAATACCAACAGAGAAAGAAAAGCACAGTTAAGAGCTAAGTCCATCAGCAGCAACAGGCCTTGGAACTTCATTCATTTCCAAGGCTATCTCCATGGGGTTTGGAATTCAATGACAGGCCTAAGAGTCTCAGAGACAGGAGTAAATCACACCTCTGTACCCACCACTCCCTCTCCCTGAAACAAACATTTGTCATTATTGAATTAGGTTAATATCAGATTAAAGTGAATCTCAAAACCAGTCTTAACTAGGGAAAGAAGTCACTAAAAACTAACAAACAGCCTTGAAACTGGGAAGAGCAAAGGGACTCATGTGTTTTGTGATGATGTGAGTTTGGCAGGGTTTGGAGCCAAACAAAACACAAGAATCCCCTCACACAGACTTATAAACCTCGTGCCTTTCTCTTTGTACAACCTGTTGGAGGCACCTCTTTCTTTTATCCCCAGCTTCACAAGAGACTGAGATGGCCATTGCCACTCTACAGCCCTGTTACGCTAGAGTTCAGGGGCAAATGTCCCGCTTTTCCCTGTCTCAGGGATGGTGCGGCTCACGTTACATAAATAGTGTGGCTCTAATTATAGTTTACACTATAAGATGGACAACTTGGTTAAATTAGCATTGGTATAAAAAGCTTACATTTGCAGTTTCCTCATTTTTGGGGAACCTTACATTTCTAAAAGCGAAGTTAAGCAGGGATTGATGAGGGATAAAGGGCTGACCTCATCTTCAACATGTGATCATTTCTTAGCTACTATTTCAACATTATTTTACTGTCATTCCTTTTTCTTGCTACTTTCAAACTTATTGCTCCTGATGTCAGTATCCATCAGAGAAGTGCCTTCTCGGTTCACTTTTCCCTAGACTTGATGGTTTGGGGGCTCTGTTGCCTAGCCTGGCTACTCTCATACTAATAGATGTTTTACAGAAAATCAGCACACGGAAACCACATTTCATCTTTTTCCCACACATGTACATAATGAAACATTTCAACTCCCGAGGCTGGGCCTCTTCCTCCTGGGAATTCTGCAGGAATGAATCAGATTACAGTATTTCCCCATAATGCTGATTTCATAAAAATTAAATTTCCTAACAGTCAATACATCTCTCTCATCATCTCATGTCCCAATCACTTACCCTAAATATCTTTAAGAACTATATCAGTTTTAACATTGCACAGAGTATAACTGGAATTTTTGTCAATGTTAATGTTGCCACTATTAACAGAAAACATCCAAACATTTTTCTCTCATCTACCCCCCAACAAGTAATGTTACAAATAGTCTTATGTCCTCAAATCTAGTGTACATATCCTATTTTGACTCAAGGAATGGTAATAACTTTACCATCATTCCAACAAATAGTTGGATCACACTCAGGTTTTGCTGAAGAGTATATAACACTGAGGGTTACATCAGCACAACTATTCAAAATCCTTACCAGGCCTGTAGTGCTTCACCATTACACTTTGCTGTCCCATACCCATACCTTTGAGATGCCCAGTCACATTCAGATATTCACATGCAATTCATCAGCCTTGGGGAGCAAGTCACTTTGAAAGGAAGTTCCTGCTTAGGGACCTGGGGCTCTCCCCATGACATGGGTCATTCCAACCCTGTGGCCCTGGGACTTTTCCTGAATCCCTCACCCAGCAAATTCCAAGACATCCTCTACCATCACATGTCTAATAACTTCCCCTTGTTAGTAGAATTTCCAAAGTTGATCATTCTTGCTATAAATGAACTCATTGCCTAAGATAAATTATTAAAGATAAAGTAAGTTTAGATGTAAGCCCTAAGGACAAGAGTTCAATAAAGAAATGTACGCTGTTCAGTGTCCCAACACCAACTTACTTGACTAAAATGAAACTCTTATTTTTAAAATTCCTTCAAAAGCATAAAGTTCATTTTTTTTCTAGCAAAATAAAACATCAGAAATAACTTTCATATGCTTTTAAATAAAATAAGAGGTAATCACTTAACACAGAATAATCATTTTTCAAACGGGCCCTTGTCATATATATTTTAAATTCTTCTAGTAAGCTTTAGTTACACAATATTTTTGTTTTATTACTATTTCTTATTCAAGTAGTGAAAAAACAGAGACAGTTAACGAATCTGAGATGTTTCTGACTTAATCAGGGTAATAGTTTCCTCCCCAAGGTGGGGAAACTTCTCTCTCTTAGAGGGTGAAAGAAGAAAGAAAGAAAGAAAGAAGAGAAAATTTCTCTTTCTGCCCAAATTCACGCTTTTCCAATTTCCTCCATTTAATCCTTCCAAGTCAAAACCAATACGGTGATCCAATTATACTGAATCAGATTCTGTGTTTAAATCCAGCAGTCCCATTGACCTTATTTAAATGCTGAATTTGATTTTTTATGTTAATTTAAACCTACTAAGAAGGTATTTTAAATGAGAGAGATAATTAATCCCAGCAAATCGTTTTTCTAGTTAAATGTCATATAATTAAAGTAATTCCACTTTTTGCTCTAAAATTAGAAACCTGATGTGAAAGTTTGTTTCTCAGTTTGCGGTTTCGCTCCACTCCCACCTCCCGCAGATTGGCACTCGGCTGCTCTGGTGGCAGCACGAATCCCCTCACTGCAAGGCTGAAATTCCAATTTTCTTCCAACACAACTGTCACAACGCCCTGAAGCAAGCTAAAAACAAGGAAAAAAATCTTTGGTATGATTTCGCTTTCCATGTGTGCTTTAATGAAAAATTTATCATTCTAAATATTGGTGTTTACTCCTAGTTAAATACTTTTTTATCAAAAAGAAAAAGAAACTGAGATTCAGTTGCTATTATTTCACAGAGAAATATAACAGGCCTGATGTTTTCCTGACAATTCCGTTATTTTCTTGTGTAGAAACACTGTATTTATCATATACTGTACGGCTGGTGATTTAGATATTGTTGAGACCTTATGGTGAACTGATATGGATGTAAACTCTTTATGCCAGATTGTTTAAGCAGAAAAAAACCAAATGCACTTAATTAACATCTGATGTGTAGCTTTCACAAACACAAATGCAATATTTGTGTTTGAGCACTGGCAGTAATGACTGTGAACTATGCTATTAATGTCTGGTTTAAAGATGCTTGTGGTAGGACCATGTCTGGAATAACACAAATAAAAAACTGCATTCAGACAAAACAATAGTGAAGAGCCCATTAGGAAAATGGAAAAGCAGCACTCAGAAGAAACACATGTATTTTTTTCCCTTTAGATCAAAATTATTCTCAAAAATAGTTCCAGGCACCATCATTTTCAATCAATTAAAGGTGAAAGGATTCTACATATTTTAACTCTACAGAAAAGAGTTTCACTTTAGGAGGTCCAAAGTTGTTTAGGGGTGTCTTCAGAAGTTCCATTCATTAAATTATACTCCTCTTTGGTGGCCAGTATTAAAGCATGCATGAAGAGAGAGCTGGGATGGTGTTTTAGGATATTTGGTACTTTTACATCTAAAGAGAAAACTTCAAATTTGTGGACTGCATTACAGTTTGAATAAAGAGATTCTTTTCAACCAATTCAGCTCCCTCCTTAAACACTTTGTTACTGGGCTGGGCGCGGTGGCTCATGCCTATAATCCCAGCACTTTGGGAGGTCGAGGTGGGCGGATCACAAGGTAAGGAGATCGAGACCAGCCTGGCCAATATCGTGAAACCCCGTCTCTACTAAAAATACAAAAATTAGCTGAGCATGGTGGCACGCGCCTGTAGTCCCAGCTACTCAGGAGGCTGAGGCAGGAGAATCACTTGAACCCAGGAGGTGGAGGCTGCAGTGAGCCGAGATCGCGCCACTGCACTCCAGCCTGGTGACAGAGCGAGACTCTGTCTCAAAAACAAAAAAAAACTTTGTTACTGAAAACCTGGTGAGTGCCAGGAACCATGCAGGTTCCTGAGTATAAAAACAGGAAGAAGGTTAAAATAAGGTAAAACCCTAGCCTAAATGTGGACTTTGCTTCAGAGTAACAAACAGAGCAAGGTCACCAGACTCAGAACTCAGGTTCAAAAATATAAACAGTTATTATACCAAAAACAATTAGTTATCATTATATATTGGTATTTTAAATTTTTTAGACCATGCACTAAAGAGAAACCACAGCTTAAACAGGACATTTGATGACTAAAGCCATAAAACTCAAACATAATTGCTAAGTCCAATGCTCCCATGGCGGGAAGAATGCGGGACTTGTGTGCATGTGGCTGAATTCACAGAAAAGAAAGCTAAGTGAGAACTGTGTGCCACAGGGTTAGGAAGTACACTCGTGGGTCCAAATTCAAGTTCCACCTCAACAGGACACTGCCTCTGCTCAGCTGTCTTTCTGTAAAATGGCTATGACGTTTCCTTGCTCAGTGAGGCACTGTGAACCTCATTCTATTGCCTTTGAATCTTTCAGAGTAGAAATAATTCAGAAGACATTACAAATATAAGTATAAATTAACCTCCCATAACGAAGCCAGTCCAGATAAGAGGGAAACTCAAGTGACTTGCTACTCTCAGGTTTTTCAAAAATAGAACAGTGCCCTCCCTGAGTTCAGGCAAAGTCTAAGTCCTTCATGTTCCAGTTGTAGGTTACATGCTTAGTGACACATTGAGACTTCCATTTTTCATCATCCCAACTAGGCTTCCTAGCCAGCATCAGCAAATGATTTTTAAAAATAGGCTCCTTAAAATGAGACTCATTCTAAAACTGGAAATTATTTTTCAAATACCAGATAAAGTTTTGGTGTGGAGTAAATTGGAGTATTCAATGTCAAGAAAAGTGCCTGATGATGCATTTCTTATTTATAGTAGAAAGAAGTAAGCAGGAAAGTGCTCAGTAACCCATTTAAATAACTAAACAGAAGCCCCTGATTCCAAGATGTACCAATTACCTCCATCTCTGACTCCTAGGGCATCATATGAAACTACAGTTCAAAGAATTTTCCCCGCATTTTTAAACAATGATGCATACATGCAGGCCATTCATACAACATATCAGACAGCAGTGTTTAAATTACCCCATAAATGTTTAGGGTTTTAAATATATATGTATGAAGTATTTATTTATAGATCTAAAAGTATCAACTATTACTGCTTTGCCCTTATTTATGTTCCCCACAAGCTGGCCAACTACAAACTTTTAAAAGGAATTTGGCTTAAAAGATTTTGTGTGTTTGGCACTGACTATGGGTGTTAATCATTTCTGAGCTCACTTCTTTTTCTCTTCTGTTTATAATATTCTTTGGGAACTTCAAAACAGAAACCTGTTTCCTTATAGATTCTGCTTCCTCTGCAGTACTGTGTAAATTAATTTGTCCTGGATTGTTGACTATACTGTACAGTTGATAGCGCCAATCATTTCTATTTAATTTTTGTAGGAAAAAACATAAACATAGCAACAATGTGTTGAGGTTTTTCTGTTTTGGTGGGAGGGAAAAATATGTTGGGAAACACTGACATAACCAAAAAAAATGTTAGAAAAATATATAAAGCCAATTAAATTTAAGCAAGTGCAAAATCGCTATTGTTGGGAACCAAATTCATTGAAAAATTAGATGAATAACATTTCTACCCTAAAGAAAGAGGTGTTATAAATTATACTTCAGTAGATATTACTTCAAAAAATGAAAGCGATTTACAGCCAGGCATGGTGGCTCATGCCTGTAATCTCAGCACTTTGGGAGGCCGAGGTGGGCGGATCACGAGGTCAGGAGTTCGAGACCCTCCTGGCCAACATGGTGAAACCCCCGTCTCTACTAAAATACAAAAAATTAGCCATGCATGGTGGTGCGCGCCTGTAGCCCCAGCTACTCGGGAGGCTGAGGCAGAGGAATCTCTTGAACCTGGGAGGTAGAACTTGCAGTGAGTTGAGATTGCACCACTGCGCTCTAGCCTGGGTGACAGAGTGAGATTCCATCTCAAAAAAAAAAAAAAAAGAAGAAAGCAAGCAATTTACTTCTTTCTGGATTATTGTTTAAGGAAGAATATGTGCAATTAAGGTAACCTAATATTTTAGTAGAAAGTCTTAAACTCTACTATCTAGTGTGAGGAATATTAGAAACTAATTGTTTATTCACATCCCTTATTCACTGATCCTCCTTGAAATACTTTACTTTTCTGCTATTAGCATCTGCATTGAGCCTACTAAATGATGCACAAACAGACTGCCCAAACTTGGCAAATCGTAATTTTCTTGTTTCTTTCACAAGCTAAAGTTTCTACCCTTGGTCATTGGTACCAGTGGAAAAAGGCATATACGGGAAGAGCTGTGCTCCTTTTCCCTTCTTATCATGAATATGCCATCAAATATAATCCAAATACAGGCACTGAAACTTAGCTTTTATAAAATTTACCACTAATAAATCTTACTAATTACTCTGCAGGGAAGATGACGGAAATAATCACAGGATTGATTTAGAGATATTATGAAAATATGTTGGAAGCTTTAAGAATTTAAAAATGTTTTTCCTATATATAATACAAACAAAGTATGTACATATATATTTTACAATATTGAGATCACGCTGCCTATACTACCTGGTATCCCTTGCACTGGCTATTCCCTCTGCCTAAAACTCTCCTCCACATCTCCACGTGGCTAGTGGTCTCACTCCTTCAAGTCTTTACTCTAATATTGCCTTTACAAAGAGGCCTAATTTGGATTATTCCACCTATAATCACAATACGGCCCCATTCTAGAACTCTTAATGCCCTTGTCCTGTTCAATATTTATTTTGGCTGTAGCACCTGTTATTTTCTAATGTACTACATAATTCATTTGTTTATTAAGGTTTTTATTTATGATCTGTCTCTTTGCCCCTCCCCAACTACAATGTAAGTTCTTTGAGGAAACATAAGTTCTATTTTGCCCACTGGTGATACTGTTTAGCACACAGTAGGTACTTAATATCTGTTTTATTAACTAACTTAACTGCAAATTCTCTCTACATTAGACTGCATTTTCTATGTCTCTGAAGGTTCTTCTAAAACATCATGCTTGAGTATGCCACAGTTTATATAAACATTCCCAAATAGCAAACATTTCCATTATTTTCAGTATTTGCTATTATAAATAATGCTTTGATAAACATCCTTGTACATGTCCCTTTTACTATTTCCTTAGGATTTATCTCTAGATCTAGAATTCCTGAAAGGCAGTTATATACATTTTTAGAGCTCTTCCTACGTATCACAAGCTCACTTCTAAAAAGTTTATACCAATTTATACTATCATTAACACTGTAAATGTCTCTAACTACATCTTCCCCAGTATTAAATATTACCTTTAAAATATCATCTTTAAACATTCGTTGTGCCAATTTTGGCATCTTAATGTTTTAACTTGGGATTTGCAGATTTTTATGAAAATTTTTATGTAAATTACAGAGCTCCATGTGAGTAAAAACAGAATAAAATCATGGCCCAGGCACAGTGGCTCACGCCTATAATCCCAGGACTTTGGGAGGCCGAGGCGGGTAGATTGCCTGAGTCCAGGAGTTTTGAGACCAGCCTGGGCAATATGGTGAATCCCTGTCTCTACAAAATATACTTGGAAGGATGAGGTGGGGGAATTGCCTGAGCCCAGGAGGTTGTGGCTGTAGTGAGCCGAGATTGCACCACTGCACTCCAGCCTAGGCAAATGCCATGAGACCCTGTCTCAAAAAAAAGAAGGAAGGAAGGAAGGAAGGAAGGAAGGAAGGAAGGAAGGAAGAAGAAGGAAGGAAGGAAGGAACGAAGGAAGGAAGGAAGAAGGAAGAAGAAGGAAGAAAGAAAGAAAGAAAGAAAGAAGAAAGAAAGAAGAAAGAAAGAAAGAAAGAAAGGAAGAAGAAAGAAAGAAAGAAAGAATGAAAGAAAAAATCAGAAATCCCAATGTGTTGACCATTTCAAATCAAACAATATAAAATAGATCATGATGAGGCAGAGGCACAGATTATCCAACCATAGGCAGGTGATAGATCAGACTGGGAGGCAATCCTCCCTTTAGTTTAAACAACTACATATGAGTTTGTTCTTAGGAAACTAAACATAATTAGCGATAATATTGGCATTCGGTCTCATGCCTTTTATATCAGGTTAAAGTTTTTCCCATATATCAACCCATTTATTCTAACAGCATTGCAAAAATGAGAATTAAGTTATTCAAGTGTTTGCTTAACCTAATGCTCTGACAGCAGTATACCTATGCCTAATTCCTGTCCACCTGACTGCAATACCAGTCCACCTGGCACTGAAGCGACTGCATCTGTGGTATAATCTCTTCAGTCTTTAGGGAGGCTCAAATTAGAAACCAGGAAATAGATTCCGAAAATTTAGTCATAAAACTTTACACTTCTCCATTTGTGAGACAAATCATGGGAAAATATGTGAGGTTCAAATTGGCAGAGAGCAATCAGTCTCTTCCTTTTTTCTATAACAAAATGTTGAATGAAATACATTTATAATATCACTTTTATTAAATCTCCTCTTCATAGGGAAGAAAAAAATGGCCCTTTAGTACTGTGTCAGGCACTTTACAGACATCATTTCAACTTCACAGTAATGAGAGGGAGACATTATTACGTCCATTTTATAGATATGGGAACCAAAGCATAATGAGACTAAGGAACCACGGTTACGCAGCCAGCAAATAGCAAGGCCGGGATTTCAGCATAGCCCCAAAACCTGTGCTGTTTTTTTTTTAATTGCATTGCTCTACTTGATTATAGATATTATTTGTTTAAGATCAGAATTCTGTGCCAGGGGCTAGTAACCAAAGACCTATGTGTAAATGATTCTGCAGGGCTTTGGCAGAGCTGTGCCATGAGAAATGTGTTTCTTATGCTCACCCACCTTTCACTCCTTGGATAGCTAGTATTTTGGTAACTGCTTAAGTTATTGATTGACCATCAAAATGTGACCTTACATGGTTTAATTTGTGGCCCCCAACAGATGTTTGAGAATGAAACAATTGAGACTCAAATAAGTGACACTAGGATGCTGGAAATGCAGGCAACAAGGAGGAGTTCCACCTTTTCCTGATACATCCCTTAGGGGTGGGGCAGGGAGAGAGGGCAGGAGTGGTAGAGAGAGGCAAAAGTTGATGAGAGCCAGGGGAAGGAATAGTTTCTTTTCCCAGTCTTTAGTCTCTGTATTCTAGAAGTCCGTTATTTAGAAAAGATTTTTTCCAGGGTTCCTCTAGAACTGATTTCCAGCTGTAAGCACCAACTTGGCTACACTGATATTTAAGTATTGAAAGACCTTTCTACCAGCTAGAAGTGATCTCTCCCTAAGTCCTCCCTCCCCAGGTGTCTCCATCACACCCCAGGGCACACCCCACACCATTCACAGATAGGGGCCTCCAGGACCCTGCCCCAGTGCCAGGAGCTATGAGCATTCTTTTCATCAGTGATCACACTGCAGGGCTAATGATATATCTTGAATATCACTTCTGGGGGCCCTCATCAAATACCTGACGGGTGCTTCTAGGCTCACAGGTTAGCTTAACAGGGCCCGGGTGAGAGTAACAGCAGAAAGGAGAGCCTCACCCATTTAAGAAGTAGCCACTCCTATAACTCTTCCTGCATTAAGAGGGTGTGACTCAGAAAGGGGACCTCAAGTTTAAAAAAAAAAAAAAAATACAGAGCAAAGCAAAAACCATGCTCAGAACCTGTTAAACCACATCTTCGGGCAGGGGCAGCTCCCAGGTCAGGCTGAAGAGCACTGAAATCTCTCCTCGTGAACCAACCCAGCTGCTTCCTTCTCTGGACAAGACTACGCTTCTCAGGCAGGTCAGCTTCGCCAAAGAGAAACACGCTACAGCCAGGAACATGCCGCACCAGATCCTCAGCAAGGCCTGTAGCAGAGGGAATTTTAACCAAAGAAAATCACAATCAAGCCAAATCTTAAAAACCAAAGCATATAGTTTTTTTGCTGTAGTAAAACATATTTAACATGTAACTCATCATTTCAGTCATTTCTAAGTGTCCAGACCAGGCATGAAGTTGCACACTGTTGCACAAGCATCACCACTAAAGCACATGATTTATACAAATTTTAAACATCAAAGCTTAAACATAATGAATGTTCCATTGAAGTTAATCTCACAATAAAAGCTTGCCTTGATACAAGGAGACTTGAATTTCTAACCCATTGCAAAGCTAATTTCACAGTGGAAATGTATAGGTAGGATTAATGAAATTAGTGCCTTCAATTTTTGAACAATGTTATAATAGTCCCAACTTGTAAATATTGTCAGAAGGTATAAAAAGTTAGGAGGGCAAGGGCCAGTAACCACACTGTCTAATACAGCAGCCTCCAGCTGTATGTGCTACTAAAAATTAATTCTAATCAAGTAAAATTTTCGTTAGGATTTATCTCTAGAACTAAAATTTTAATCGATTAAAATTAAATAAAATGGGCCAGGGAAGTGGCTCATGCCTGTAATTCCAGTACTTTGGGAGGCTGACGCAGGAGGATAGCGTGAAGCCAGGAGTTCGAGAACAGCCTGGGCAACATAGTTAGATCCCTATCTCTACAAAAACTAAAAAAAGAAAAGAAAAAAATGAAAAATGAAGTTTTTTAGTTGTACTTGTCACATTTCAAGTACTTAATAACCACACATGGCTAGTGGTCTCCATATTGGACAGCACAGATAAAGAACATTTCCATCACCACAGAAAGTTCTATTGGACAGCTCTGAGCCAGATGCTCTATAAGGAAGCCTAATATTTAAACAAAATTGGAGATTACTCCAAATGACAGAACATTTTTCATCTTCCTCTGCCATTCTTCACATCTGGATTCTCTGGATATGATTTTATCTTCTCAAGGCAAAATATAGAATTGCTGGGCTTTTCTAGATTACTCCTTCACAGGACCTCTGCTTGTTTTCTAGGAGCTAATTATAGTCCCCTGTAAACAAGCACAGAGATGGCATACATTTTGTCTGATATATGGAATATAGGTGCTAAGGGAATTCTGGTGCTGGCCTGGGATAGCAGGAGTGCAGGCCTTCTTTATTTGTTACATATCATGGATCATCAAAATAAGGGCTGAGATGAGACTTCTGGCCACAATAAGCATAGAAGAGCGTCCCAACTGCAATTTCAGGGTTTATTATTTGTTTAATTCTAACGCAGGCTGCCATGTTAATGGAAGAAGTGAAATGTGGAAGACACCGAAAAAACATTTGGTACCACTGGGGTGTAAAAAGTCTTAGGAAATGTTTTGGTTTTGGTGGTTTTTTTGTTTGTTTGTTTGTTTTTTGAGATGGAGTCTCGCTCTGTTGCCCAGGCTGGAGTGTAGTGGTGCAATCTTAGCTCACTGCGAACTCCGCTTCCTGGGTTCAAGCAATTCTCTTGCCTCAGCCCCCGCAAGTAGCTTGGATTACAAGCACGTGCCACCATGCCCAGCTAATTTTTTTTTTGTATTTTTAGTAGAGACAGGGTTTCACCATGCTGGCCAGGCTAGTCTTGAACTCTTGACCTCGTGATCCACCTGCCTCAGCTTCCCAAAGTGCTGGGATTACAGGCATAAGCCACCATGACCAGCCTGTTTTTTTGTTTGTTTGTTTGTTTTTTGAGATGGAGTTGCATGCTGTCGCCCAGGCTGCAGTGCAGTGGCATGATCTTGGCTCACTGCAACTTCAGCCTCCCGAGTTCAGAGGATTCTCCTGCCTCAGCCTCCAGAGTAGCTGGGATTACAGGAAACTGCTACCACACCTGGTTAATTTTTGTATTTTTAGTAAACAGAGTTTCACCATATTGGCCAGGCTGGTCTCGAACTTCTGACCTCAAGTGATCTGCCTGCCTCAGCCTCCCAAAGTGCTGGGATTAGAGGTGTGAGTCACTATGCCCAGCCTGGGAAATGTTCTTTCTCTGAATCAGGTAGCAACTCCAGCATTAGAAGTCCCTGGTATTGTAGATACCATAAAGCCAAGAAAATCTCCTAAGTTTACTTTAGCCCTAAGTGATTTCGGTTTCATTAACACTACTTTAAGGTACAGGCATACCTCAGAGATATTGTGGGTTTGATTCCAGACCACAGCAGTAAAGCAAATATCACTGGCAAATATCACAATAAAGCAAGTCACGTAAATTTTTTGGTTTCCCAGTGCATATAAAAGTTATGTTTATATTATACTGTAATCTCTTAAGTGTTTAATAGCATTATGTCTGCAGAAACCAATACATATACCTTAATTTAAAAACACTTTATTGACCAGGTGCAGTGGCTCATGCCTGTAATCCTAACACTTAGGAAGGCTGAGGAGGGAGGATTGCTTGAGATTAGGAGTTTGAGACCAGCCTGGGCAACAGAGTGAGACACCATCTCTACAAAAAATAAACAAAATTACCTGGGGGTGGCAGCATATGCCTGTAGTCCCAGCTACTTAAGAGGCTGAGGTGGGAGGATCACCTGAACCTGGAAGGTCAGGGCTGCAGTGAGCTGGGATCATGCCACTGTACTCCAGCCTTGATGACAGAGCTAGACCCTGTCTCAAAAAAACAAAAAAAAAAAACAAAAAACTTTATTGCTAAAAAATGCTAAGGCTTCAGCAAGTCATCATCTTTTTGCTGGTGGACATTCTTGCCTTGATCTTGATGGTTGCTGACTGATCAGCCCGATGGCTGCTGAAGGCTGGAGTGGCTATGGTTAACGTGTTAAAATAAGACCACAGTGAAGTTTACTGCATCAATTGGCTTCTCCTTTCACTGAAATTTCTCTGTAGCATGTGACGCTGTTTGATAGTATTTTACCCACAGTAAAACGTCTTTCAATACTGGAAACAATATTCTGAAACCCTGATGCTGCTTTATCAATTCAGTTTATGTAATATTCTAAATCTTGTATTGTCATTTCAACAACGTCCATAGCATCATCACCAGGAGTAGATTCCATATCAAGAAACTTCTTTCTCTCCTCATCCATTTTAGTTGTTGGGGTTTTTGTTTGTTTGTTTGTTTTAGAGATAGCGTCTTGCTCTGTCACCCAGGCTGGAGTGCCCTGGCGTGATGTAGGCTCACTACAACATCTGCCTCCTGGGTTCAAGTGATTCTCATGCCTCAGCCTCCCAAGCAGCTGGAATTACAGGTGTGTGCCACTGCTCCCGGCTAGTTTTTGTATTTTTATCAGAGATGGGTTTCACTATGTTGGCCAGGTTGGTCTTGAACTCCTGGCCTCAAGTGATCCGCCAGCTGCAGCCTCCCAAAGTGTTGGGATTACAGGCGTGAGCCACCATGCTGGGCTCCATTCAAGTTTTATCATGAGATTTCAGCAATTCAGTCACATCTTCAGGTTCCGCTTCTAATTTTAGTTTTCTTGCTATTTCCACCACATCTGCAGTGACTTCCTCCACTAAAGTCTTAACGTCACCCATGAGGGTTGGAATCAACTTCTTCCAAACTCCTGTTAATGTTGATACTTTGACTTCCCCCCAAGAATCATGAATGTTCTCAAAGGCATCTAGAATGGCAAATCCTCTCCACGAGGTTTCCAATTTACTTTTTCCAGATCCTTCAAAGGAATCATTATCTATGGCAGACTATAGCCTTACAAAATGTATTTCTTAAATAATAGGATGTGAAAGTCAAAATTACTCCTTGAACCATGGACTGCAGAATGGATGTTGTGTTAGCAGGCATGAAAACAACATTAATCTCCTTGTACATCTCCATCAGAGCTCTTGGGTGAGAAGGTGCATTGTCAACGGGCGGGAATATTTTGAAAGGAATATTTTTTTCTGAGCCCAGTAGGTATCAACAGCGGGCTTAAGGTATTCAGTAAACCAGGCTGTAAACAGATGTGCTGTCATCCAGGCTTTGTTGTTGCATTTATAGAGCACAAACAGAGTAAACTGAGTATAATTCCTAACGGCCGTTGGATTTTCTGAATGGTAAATAAGCATTGGCTTCAACTTAAGGTCATCAGTTGCATTCGCCCCTAACAAGAGCATCAGCCTGCTCCTTGAAGCCAGGCGTGGACTTCTCTCTAGCTATGAAAGTCTTAGATGGCCTCTTCTTCCAACAGAATGCTGTTTCATCAATACTGAAAATCTGTTTAGTGTAGCCACTTTCATCCTTTTTCTAAAATTTTGTAGAGACAGAGTCTCACTATATTGCCCAGGCTGGTTTCAAACTCCTGGGTTCCGGCAATCCTCCCACCTCGGTCTCCCAAAGTGCTGGAATTACAGGCATGAACCACTGCCGCGGCCAGCCTACCTTCATCCTTCATCTTAGCTAGATACCAGTCTCCTGGATAACTTGCTGCAGCTTCTACATCAGCACTTGCTGCTTTACCTTGAACTTTTATGTTATGGAGGGAGCTTCTTTCCTTCAACCTCATGAACCAACCTCTGCTAGATTCCAACTTTTCTTCTGTAGCTCATCAGCTCTCTCACCCTTCACAGAATAGAGGAAGAGTTACAGCCTTTCTTTGGCTTAGCCTTTGGCTTAAGGAAATGTTGTGGCTGGTTTGATCTTCTATCCAGACCACTAAAACTTTCTTCATATCAGCAATAAAGCTGTGTTGCTTTCATGTCATTCGTGTGTTCACTGTAGCAGCACTTTTATTTTCCTTCAAGAACTTATCCTTTGCATTCACAACTTGGCCAACTGGCAGAAGAGGCCTAGCTATTGACCTATCTCAGCTTTCAACATGTCTTCTTCCCTAAATTTAATCATTTCTAGCTTTTTATTTAAAATACAAGATGTGAGACTCTTTCTTTTACTTGAACACTTAAAGGCCATTGTTGGGTTATTAATTGGCCTAATTTCAGTACTATTGTGTCTCAGTACATAGGGAAACCCAAGGAAAGGAAGAGAGATGGGGGAACAGCCAGTTGATGAAGCAGCT